CGCCAGAGGGAAAGGCCATGGCCTCGGGAGGCTGTATCGAGCGGGGAGCTCCAGACCTTCTTGGATGCGTGGATCATCATCATCATCATCATGACCATCATCATCACCACCGTCATCATCATCACCATCAACAGTAATAGCATCACCATCATCACCACCATCATCATCGTCCCCATCATGACCAACAGCATCTTTACTACCACCATCATCATCTTAGTCATCATCATCACCATCGTCATCTTGATCATCCTCATCATCATCACCGTCATCATCAGCACCATCATCATCACCATTACCATCTCCGTCGTCATCATCAGCATCATCAGTTGAATCAGCGTTAGCACCATCACCACCATCATCACCATCATCATCATCATCATCATCTTCATCTTCAGCATCATCATCGTCTGTGTCCTCCTCCTCCTCCACCTCCTCTTCCTCTGCTTCTCCTCGGTGCCTCCCTCCCTCCCTCCGTCCACCCCGCTCCCCCAGCACACCCGTTCTGATTGGCCCCACGTCCGATGCGACCGGGCACATCTTTTCCCTCCGTGCGGCGGGGCGCACCCACCGCGGCAATACGGCCGCAGACGTCCTCCCGTTTTGCATCTCGCATGGTCCGCGCGCCCGATATATATATGTGTATATGTACATATATATACATATATATACATATACATGAGAGAGAGAGAGAGAGAGAGAGAGAGAGAGAGACAGAGATACAGAGAGACAGAGAGACAGAGAGAGAGAGAGAGAGACAGAGAGAGCGAGCGCTGTTGGTTCGGAGGGGCCCAGGCCTTCCAAGACCTTCTCGTGTTATGATCCTCCGTTTTCGGCGGGTGCCTGGCCTCTGGGGACCCTCACCGGTCCTCAGGGCCGTCCAGCAACGCATCGAGAAGCCAGTGAAATGGGGTCCAGACCTCTGGGGGTCCACGCTGTGAGGACATCGCCAGGGCAGCCCTGGGGCCCGGCGAGGGCTCCCAGGGGCTAAAAATTACCCTGGCGACGTACCCAACCCCTGCGCAATGCGGGGCATGAGTAGTTTGGGCGTTTATAAGGAGGTGATGACGAGACATGGACGTATGTATTGTTTGGGAGGTCCCATTTGAGTCCGCCGCGGGGCCCCACTATGCTGGCTCCCCAAGCAGGCCTCGAAAGTGGCGACAGTTTCGCAGATCGCAGCCCCCCAGGGATGGCGAGGTCTCATTTGAATCTGCGTAGCATGTTTCCATGCTGGACCACCCAGCAGGCCTCGAAAGTGGCGACAGTTTCACAGATCGCAGCCCCCCAGGGATGGTGAGGTCTAATTTGAGTCTGCGTAGGACGTCATTATGCTGGCCTCCCATTTGCATCTGCGTAGCACGTCACTATGCTGGACCCCCCAGCAGGCCTCGAAAGTGGCGACAGTTTCACAGATCGCAGCCCCCCAGGGATGGCGAGGTCTAATTTGAATCTGCGTAGGACGTCACCATGCTGGACCCCCTGACAGGCCTCGAAACAGGCGTCAGTTTCACAGATCGCAGCCCCCCAAGGACGGCGAGGTCTAATTTGAATTTGCGTAGGACGTCACTGCGCTGGACCCCCCAGCAGGCCTCTGAAGTGGCGACAGTTTCACAGATCGCAGCCCCCCCAGGGATGGCGAGGTCTAATTTGAATTTGCGTAGTACGTCACTGTGCTGGACCCCCCAGCAGGCCTCGAACGTGGCGACAGTTTCACAGATCGCAGCCCCCCAGGGACGGCGAGGTCTAATGTGTGTCTGCGTAGGACGTCACTGTGCTGGTGCCACAAGAAGGCCTCGAACGTTGCGACAGTTTCACAGATCGCGGCCCCCCAGGGATGGCGAGGTCGAATTTTAGGACGTCACTGCGCTGGACCCCCCAGCAGCCCTCGGAAGTGGCGACAGTTTCACAGATCAAAGCCCCCCAGGGACGGCGAGGTCGCATTTGAGCGTGCGTAGGACGTCACTGTGCTGGTGCCACAGGCAGGCCTCGAAAGTGGCGACAGTTTCACAGATCGCAGCCCCCCAGGGATGGCGAGGTCGAATTTTAGGACGTCGCTGTGCTGGACCCCCGTCAGGCCTCGAAAGTGGCGACAGTTTCACAGATCACAGCCTCCCCCCCCCCCAAGGCAAGACAGGCAGGAGGCAGGAGGGAGGCGGGAGAAGGACGCCACCCCCGTCCTCTATTCAAAACGTATACCCAACCAAGGAGGGTTGGGAGTTATGAAGCGCCCACCCATGCCCGTCCGACATCTGTTGGTTGCGACGCAAGGAGATCTGGGGAGAAAGCGTGGTCAGGGGAAACCTACCGTGTCCTTGGCCGAGGAGGACACGCGGGGCATTGCAGGAAGGGGCCTCGCCCGAGGCGCCCCTCGCCTGGTGGCAGATTCCGTGTCGCCGCGAGATTGCGGCAGGTCGTGAGGAGGATGATAATGAGGAGAAGGAGGAGGAGAAGGAGTAGGAGGAGGAGGAGGGGGAGGAGGAGGGGGAGGAGGAGGGGGAGG